GCCACGGAGCGGCTGGGCCTGTGAGCCATGGCCGCTGAGCCTGCGCGTCCGGAGCCTGTGCTCCGCAGCGGGAGAGGCCACAGCGGTGAGAGGCCCGCGTACCGCAAAAAAAACACAAAAAACAAAAGGAAAAAACGTTTATTGAAATTGAAGGCTTTGAAAACCTCTGCTCCAGACAAATCTGTCATCGTGAGGCCCTTGGCCTTACACAGAGAGAGCATCATGGATGGTGTGGTACTCAGACACCTGCCAACTGCTCTTAGCTGCCTGTGCGATGCCAAGGAACCATATGGAAACTGAAAAATTCAGCAGAAATTCTGGATGCCTTGTCTACGTGACAACAAATAATCAGATATTTGGAAACAACAGACTTTGGACTAAATCTTGTCATCCTCTGGGAATTCCTAAATACAACCTTGGAGGTGTTACCTCTTTTACCCTATTGTTCTCTTTTCCTTTTTGTTTTTTTTTTCCTGGGTGGTCTCACTCAACAGTCATGCCCAAATCTACGTCTCAGGCCCCGATACTCCACGGATCACCATTTCCAAGGGCCTCTGGAGCCTCCCTGGCAGTGTGACCGTGGCGAGTAGGGCTCGCCAAATGTCCACGTGCTCCTACACCTGCGGCCTCCCCTGCAGGCAGGTGGAGGCCGTCAACTCAGACTCTGGCCAGTAGGATGTGAGTGAGGGAGCACCTCCCAGGTCTGACCCCCACAAAACATCTTGTGTGCTTCTCTCTCCTCTGCCTCAGTGACCCTGGAGGTCATGTGTTCCAGACCGCGGGGCCACAGGCTGGAGGGGGCCCAGTCGACCTGCATAAGACTTTGTGAATGGGTGAGATACACCTTTCTTGGGTTACCCCTCTGAGATTTGGGGTTCTTTGTTACTGCGGCGCCGCCTGGCCTCACCTGACTCATACCTTCAGGATGCCCCACAGACACCTTCTCCTTCAGATTTGTTCCCTAATGAGGAACATGGCATCCTTGTTTTCCCAAATATCTCAGAGCCTCTTTGACTCCTCCCCCTTTCTCCTCTTACATAATCAGAGGTTCTGGGGACCCGCCTCTACCTCTCCTTCTCCATGGCCCCCCACGATCCTGGTCAGGTCTCGTCATTGCTCTCCTGGACCAATGCCATGGCCCCCCAGCTGGTCTCTCTGTCTCTCTTCCAAGCTCCAGCTTTCAGAAGCTGCCAGAATTAGCTTTCCGCAACACGAATCTCATCTTGTTGCTCCTTTTCTGAAAACCCCAGAAGGTTCTCTTTGACCTCAGGAGAAGGCGCAAGCCCGTAGCTCCTGGGCCCGCTTTCTCCTCCAGTCTGGTAGCCACGGCTCCGTCCTGCAGGGCCAGGCCCGTGAGCCTACGCTGAGCGGACCAGGCACCCTGATTCCTTTGTCCCTTGTGTGTGCCGTACCCTCTGTTTTACTCCAGCTGGGTCCCGACTCATCATTCAAGACCTGCTCAAATGTATTTTTTTCTGACAGAATACATTCTTCCCTCCATTTCTTCCTCCGTGCTCATATTCCCATAATAGCCCGTGTTCTCTGGGGTGTTCGTGCTGTTAAGTAGAAGTAAAGAACTACAGGGTCAGAAAGTTGGGGGGAAAACTGAAGTAATCAAAATCAAACAGATTTTGAAACTGCAGAACTTTTCCGTCCTTAATACGTACATGTCACAGGATAGACTCAGAGGCATTTCCTAAACCACAGGTACATTTCTGGAGGGTGTCTCATTGGGCTCGTGTCCTGCTGAAGTTCTTATGTAGCTCACCCCCTCGTTTCACCCGTTGGGAGACTCAGGCCCCGGGCACACAGCACTGAGTGGCCAGGCTGAGGCAGCTGGCTTCCCAGGGGGCTGCCCTGCGGGCAGAGGGGGGCCCCTTGAGTTAGAGACCCCCACCCACTGAGCATCTCTGGGACTTACTGCTCTGCCCCGGCCTCGGGGAACGTTTCCGTTACGAATGAATGTGCGCTGCATCCCAGATGGGGCTTTTGGGTGTCTGGACTGAGTCTTCAGAGTGGATGGTCACAGACCATAGATGAGGTGTGTGTGACACAGACGGGACTTACTGTGGGTCGTTCTGTCACTGTCCCCCGTGAAGGCCTTCTCTCTGCAGCGCACTCTGCAGAAATGCCCTCCTGAGCATCTTACAGACACTCATTTATCCGCACAACGACTGATGACCATTCTTACTGAACACAGGAGGAGACAGAGGCACAAAGACATTCAGTGACTCACCCAGAGCCCTGCAGGGCCGGGACGGAGTTCAGCTCCAGCCTCGCTTCCCGCCCGCGCTCTGAGCTCATTTCCCCCCGGTGCACGCTAAGTACACACTGATGAGGTGGGCGCTTGCAGACACAGGACACCCACCTGTGAGGCAGGTGTTGCCAGTGTGCTCACAGCGGCACCTGAAACATTACCATCAGCATCCTTGTCCCGAGGGCTGCCGCTCTCCAGCTGTGTGATCCAAGGCAGGTGACTTAGCCTCTCTGGGCCTCTCTGTTTCCTCCTCCGTTTCTAACATCAAAATAACGATGCACCCAAGCACTGGCACATGGGAGGCAATTGGCAAGTTCTGCCCCCTCCCCAGTTCCGGTGAACCCTGGTGTGTGGGGCGGGGGATAGGTGGGGCTGAGGGAGGCTGTGCCCCCCGGGGCTGGCTGTGTCCCCCCCGTTTCCCGCCTCCCTGCTTTGGTCCCTAGACCTTCACTGGGCTCCTGCTGCAGCCCAGGGCCTGTGCATTCGGCTTCAGTGGTAAGACTCCGGCCTCTGCCGTCTTCCCCAAGGATGGTCTCTGGTTGGTTGTATGTCACTCCCAGGTCCAGCCTTTCTCCTCTCTGCCCTGCCCACTACGCTGACCAAACTGGGCTCTGGCCCCAGATGGACAGACGGGGGATCCCACTTCCCTGGGCCCGTGGGGGCTACTTTCCCAGCCTCCCCTGGTGCCCATCAGGAGATGGTCAGGTACTGTAGTGCCCCGAGGCCCTGAGGGCTCACTTCTGAGCCACATTCCAACCCAGTAAGAGCAGGGTATCGGGTGGCATCCGTCCTGCACTGGCCAGCGTGGTCACGGCCCCTGCTCTGTCTCCACAGTGTCCTGTGTCACATGGAGAGTGGGCAGCAGCAGGGCGCTGGGGGGCCCAGGCTCAGGCCCCACTGCCTGTACTTCCCTGCTGCACGGGGTAGGCCGGGCACTGTCACGCCGAGAGCCTTGGTCTCACCGGGTATCAGTGGAGCTGACAGTCAACCCAGCCCCACAGGGTCGGGAGGGTTACAGATGTGAAGGCTGCGGCAGAGGAGCCTGGCGTGGGGAGAGGTGGGGCACCCCGGGCCCAGCCCACGCCCCAGAGCTCGTTGGCACATGCGGAAGCATGGGTTCGTGGCCCATTGCCACCCTCGTGCTGCTGATGTAAACTTGGGCAAGCCCCTCTGCTTGGTTATGCTGTGCCACAGCTTCCTCCTGTGTGAAAAGGAGACGGTGATGGACCCCTCCCCCAGCTGCGGGGCGGCGAGCGAGGCAGCCCTGCAAAGGCCTGGAGCAGGGCTGGTGCCCCGTGCTGGGGAGGTATCTATGTCTCTGCTGCAGTGTCTTTGACGTCCTTGTCCCCATTGCTGGCGGTGACCTTCCTGAGGCTGGGCACTGGTTCTGGTCATCGCCTGGTCCCCTGACACTGCGGTGGACGCTTGAGGGACCGTGGAGCCTCCGCTCTCACTGGCCCTGCCCGCCCTGCCCTGCACTCAGCTGCCCTGGAGCTCTTCACCCGCTGGTTCCTTTAAGGACCCCATGCTGTCTTCTTCCAGCTCGCGCCACACGCTGGTCCCTCTGCCAGGACCACTCTTCCCGGTCTCACCACCAGTTCCTGTTTATGCCTCCAGGGATTTGGTCTGGTTCATTCCCTGCTCTCTCCCTGGGGCCTAGACTCATGCCAGGCACACAGTAGGTGCTCAGTAAACATTTGATGAGCGGAAGAAATGAACCAAGCTGTTTGCAGGCGCTAGCTGTGTGGTGTCCGTGATTAAAGAGAGCCCTGATGGCCGGGAAAGGGCCACTTGTCATCTGCTCTCTGTCCGGTTTGGGCCTACTACCTGGCTAGCCTCTCACACGTCAGGGCTTTGGTGGCCCACAGTGCCGGTGCTCCGGGGATGGAAATCCCTGCCACCACCAAAAAGCAACCACCGTCACCACTGCCTATAATGCACCCCGACGCGGCACCACCCAAGGAGCTGCTGCCGTTTCCTCCCCGTCTCCCCGCCCTCTTTGGCTCGGGGCAGCCTGTGCACTGTCTGTCTCGCTGTGGGGCCTCGTCTTCCTCCTCCGTCTGGACGCGTTTTCCTGCCGTTGCGGGAGCAGACTTTTGTCCTGGTCCAAGTTAGTGTCCCGACCAGCTGTCCCCACTGCCTTCTCCCCGGCCGGCCTGGTGATGAGGCTGTAGCATTGGTTGATCCTTCTCTGCAAAGCTGGTACCTCGAACCCTTGTTGTTCCCTGACAGTCATCAGGACACTTGTCTGCCCTCCTGCCCTGGAGCAGGCAGAGAACTTCTCAGCATCGCTGGAGGCCGAGCTGGGCAGCTGAGGGAGTGGCCGGGGCTCCCCTCTGTGGAGCCCAGCACCCCACCAGCACCCCGAAAGCCTGTTCCCTCAGTCTCCCTCCTGCCGGGTCCCCCAGTGTCCCTGGTGAGTATCGCTCATGATTCCTTGACTGTCTCTGAGACGGGCCTGCTCGGGGAGCCGCGTCTGCTGAGCTTCGTCACTATTATAAAGAGAAATTAAAATATTATCACTAGAGGCCTTTGATCATTTAAAAAAGCTTGAGACTTTTAATGAGCAAGCAGTCTGATTAAAAGTTGGAGTGGGCTTCCCTGGTGGCGCAGTGGTTGAGAGTCCGCCTGCCGATGCAGGGGACACGGGTTCGTGCCCCGGTCTGGGAGGATCCCACATGCTGCGGAGCGGCTGGGCCCGTGAGCCATGGCCGCTGAGCCTGCGCATCCAGAGCCTGTGCTCCGCAATGGGAGAGGCCGCAACAGTGAGAGGCCCGCGTACTGCAAAAAAAACAAAAAACAAAACAAAACAAAAAATGCTGGAGTGACAAAGTATTTCTTCTGCCTTCTGGATGAGAGCATTATCATGGAACCGGGAAGCAAGGCTGGATCTTGAAACTAAAAGATTTGGCCTGGGGTTCCAGGGACCCCCACATACCTGTCAGGAAAGGCACCATTTACTGTGGTCCAGCCATACGCCAGGCACTCGGCATCTGTCCTCTCATGAATCCTTATAAAAAGCTGTGCTGCAGGCCAGGGGCTCGCGGCTGGCTGCACACTGGCATCACCTGGGAGCTTAGAGATGCCCCACAGAGATGGCGCGGTCAGGAGTGGGGCTTGGGCGTCGGTATTTTTCTGAAGTCCTCCAAGTGATGCCAGTTGTGCAGCCTGGGCCCAGAGCCACTGGGGGCGTCAGGACCACCTAGAGGGCGTGTTGGACACAGATCAGGGCCCCAGCCTGGAGTTTCTGGTTCAGTAGGTCTGGGGTGGGCCCAGAAATCAACCCATTAACGCAGATGCTGCGGGTCCAGGGATGACACATTGAGGGCCACCGAGTCAGGGCCGTGCTGGCCCCATTTCACAGGTGAAGCAATTTATGGAACAGAGAGGTGAAGTTGGGCCACGCTCAGGACACCCAGTTGGTACATGAGGACGTGGGCCTTTGAATCCTTTGGGTAAATTACTGCCCCCTGTGTGCTTTCACCTTCCCCACCTTTAAATTGGGGAAAACAGTACTTACCCTCTAGGGGAGTCAGAGGTGCGCTGGGTTCTTCCATCAGGAACAGTGCCTGGCCCAGAGGAGGCGCTCGAGTGGCAGTCTCGGTTGTTATTGTTACTGTTACCTGGAGGGATGAGTGGAAGAGCAGAAGGCCAGATGGCGGCTCCCCCTTCCTTTAGGCCCCCAGACACCTCCCTGGGATCGCCTGCTTCCCTGACGTCACTGTTGAGCCGTGCGCCTCCCCCATCAGACTGCGAGCTCTCCAGGAGCAGGACCAGGCCTGACTCGGTCTGGAGCCCAGTGCCCTGCGTGGAGGCGAAGAGGGAGGATGACTGGGGCTGGTTTCCCCGTCTTAGGATCTTGCTGTTGTGAAGAATCAGGTGTTACAGATCTGGAGGGGGTTTAATATTTATCTCACGCATGCACCCTGATGCCAGGCGCTGAACCCCAGCTTCTGCACGTGGCCTGCCTCCACGTGTTCATGCCCAGACACCTGCTGAGCTGTCGGCCACCTCGGTGGGCGCCGCAGACACTGCCTCTGTGGCCTCCGGAGACCCCACTACGCCGGGGGTGTCGGATAGGATGCCTGATCGAAGCTCTCCTTTGCTTTCTACACTTGCCTGCACCTTTCTCCTGCATCTGCGTCCCTGAGTCCCTGATGTGAGTCACTAAGGAGGGTGAGTGCGGGGGTAGGGGGCGTGAGACTGGGGTGAGGGAGGCACCCAGAAGCGGGCTCCCCCCCACTCTCCCCTCCTCCGTCGCTGCCCACTGCCCTGTGCCCAGCTGCCACGACTTCTCTCTTGTCCTGCACAGTCGTGTCCTCAGTGCCTTCCTGCACCTGTCCTCCTGGCGGCCAGAGTGATGCTGTAAGAACGCTGCTGGTCTCACTCTCCTGCCTGAGACCCTCCAGAGGCTTTGCAGCGGTCTGTGGATACAAGTGAAGCCCGGCAGTTCCTCCTCCGAATACCCAGTTGCTCTGGGCCGGGCCGGGGCTCACGTGCTCCCCCTCTGCTGGGATGGCTCTTCCCGCCAGGCTCGTGCCGGGCCTCTCAGCTCCAAGTCACCTGGCCCCCAGCACCTCCTCGTTGCCGTCACACACCTGCCTTATTTTCTCCTGGGTATGCAGCACTGTCTAGGTTTTCCCCCGGATCTGTCTAGCTGCATGAGGACGGACGCTCCTCCCCAGCACAGGGAACTTGTCTGTCTCCCTCATCACTGTGTTCCTGGGGGTCCAGTGATGTTTGTGAGCTGAGAGATCCAGGGAATCACAGCGTCTCCGGATTTGGATTCAGAAAAGGGATGAATCAGTCCTGCTCTTCCGAATGCCTTGTGGCCTTATTAGGGCAGAGGCAGCCAGTTGTTCTGGAGGGAGCACTGGTGAGGCATCATGGCCTCTGCATTCCAGACCTGGACCCTCTCCCCGGTTTGTTGGGACATTAACCAAATCCCTAATGACGTGGCCTCGGTCTGAGCCTGGGGGTGATGTGTGTTCACATTACCTCCCTGCCTGGCTGAGCCCTCCAAGCCTCGGAGGGGTAACACGCACAGATGGCAAGTGACCGGGGTGGGGTGGAAAGAGCGCCCCCTTGGGGCCAGAAAACGTGCCTGGAGTCTGGCCCCTGACTCTGGCCAGGTGACCTTGGGCAGTCATCACTCTGAGTCTGTTTCCGTGTCTGTAAGATGGGGACAGCCTGATGGTAAGAGTTAAATATAACCTGCAACATCACCCACCCCAGGAGCAGAGGCCCCCATCTTCTTTTCCAGGACGCAGCCAGTCCCTAGGAAAGTGCCCAGCACACAGTAGGTGCTCGATCATGTGTCACTGTCAAGTTTTCTTGAGGACAGTACTTGGAGGCCTTCCTTTATTTAAAAACAAGACGAAACAAAACGAACAAACAACTGGAAGAGACCTTAGAGACCGTGCAGCCCCCTTCCCTTCACAGCCGGGGACATGGAGGCTGAGCGAGCATCAGGGAGCCTCTCGGTGAATTTCTATCTAAGGCGGGACAGACCCAGCTCTTCTGACCGCCGTGCAGCGAGCACCTTCCCGCCAGCCACTGTCTGCAGTGTTGCGTTGCTCGTAAGCGTCATTTTGGTGCCCGCCTGCCACTTGGTTTTGTCTCCCCTCCCGTCAGCCCTGCGCTGACCCTGTTCTGTTCTCCTCTGCTCCCCGTGCTGGACCAGATGTTCCCACAGCTGCTGGCTCCCCCTCCTCTCCCGACCCTGGGCCCGAGCTGGAGATGTAGACTCTGACAGATTGGGAATTTACACCGCGGAGGGGGTGAGGGCACATTCCAAGGTAGGAGACTTCATAGGTATCCAGCCAAGCCCCGCCCCCCACCCCAGCACTGGGCAGAGGGCGAGCCCAGTCTGTTATTGGCTATGAATTCCGGGTGAGCCTGGGTGAGCAAGCAGAAGACAGGGTGCTGGGTGCTTCAGCTCTTTGGGGGCCAGCGGGAAGCCCCACTGTCTGTCTTTCCCAAACGTTCGAGCCTTTGCTCCTTGGCCCCGTTAGGCTCTCTCACTCTGCTCTCTCTCTCTCTGAAGCAAAGAGACCCAACTGGGAGGTGAGTGTGATGGGGATGCTGAACCTGAGGATTTTTTAAAAAAAATTATTTATTTTATTTATTTATTTTTGGCTGCACTGGGTCTTCGTTGCTGCGTGCGGGCTTTCTCTAGTTGCAGTGAGTGGCGGCTACTCTTCGTTGTGGTGCGCGGGCTTCTCATTGCGGTGGCTTCTCTTGCTGCGGAGCAGGGGCTCTAGGCAGGTGGGCTTCAGTAGTTGTGGCACGCGGGCTCAGTAGTTGTGGCTTGCGGGCTTTAGAGCGCAGGCTCAGTAGTTGTGGCGCACAGGCTTAGTTGCTCCGCGGCATGTGGGATCTTCTCGGACCAGGGCTCGAATGCGTGTCCCCTGCATTGGCAGGCGGATTCTTAACCACTGTGCCGCCACCAGGGAAGCCTGAGTCTGAGGATTTTTATTTAATGTGGGGGCCACTGAGGAAGGAGGAGGCGGGGTGGCCCCTGGCTGAGGATGCACAGCTACTCTGACCCTGGCCTTGCCTCGGAGAATCTCGTGCTCCTGTGTCTTTTCCCTGAGGCCAGTGCGGAGCACATGGTGGGTGCTCAGTGAAGTTACATTGAAATCTACCTAAAGTAGGTTCATGACCTTGGGTGGGGACTTGGTGCGCTGAGCCTCTGTTTCCCCAGCTCTGCACCGTGGCTGCCAGGCTCTGAATGGGACCTTGTCCCACACCCTCTCCTCACCCAGGCGTCTGTCCTTATGTTCAGGGACTGCCCCCTTGGTGGCCCCCGGGGTTGGGACATAAAGCCACTGTCTGCAAGTCCTGAAGCCTAAGCCACAGGAGTGGCTGCACCTGTAGGTCATCTGGAAGCTGCCTTAGCGTCTTCGCAGGGCCCTCGGCTGCCTAGAAGGTCTCCTCCTCACCCTCAAGGAGCTAGGTCCTGTCTCCACTGTTACTCCTTCAGAGGCTCCTTCCGGAGACCACCTCCCCACTTACGGTCTGGCTTCATTCTGGTTCTCTGGGGTGATTTTGTCCGTGAACGTGTCCACTTAGGTGTGGTCTTTCTCCCACATTAGACACTCAGCAGTGGGAACAGGCACCTGGCTGTGTTTACCCCTGTGTCCCCACTGCCTGGAACTCTGCTGGCCCAGAGTAAGTGGTCAGTAAGTACAAGAAGGAAGGGCGGAAGGAAGGCAAGAGGGCGGGAGAGGAGGGAAGGAGTAAGGAAGGAGCAAGGAAGGGAGGAGAGGGGTCTGTGGCCTGTGGCCCTGGAGGGTGGCGGCCTGCTCCAGGACCTCCGGCCCCTGGTTCCTGAGCGGCTGGTGCTCGCACGGGCGGGCACGGAGCCGGCCGGCAGGTGGCGGTGCGCCCTCGGCTGCGCGGGTGGCGGCGGCGGAGCGGCGAGTCCCCTCCTCCCGCCGGCTCCCTCCCCTCTACGGCTCCTTTCTCTGAGCTCTCGCTCGCGCTCCCCAGCGCTCTCCGCTCTCCCGGCCGCGGTCTCCCTTGCCCGCGCCGCCCCGCCGCCGGCCCCGCCGCCGCCCCTCGGCGACCATGGCGCACCGGGGACCCCCGCGCGCCCCGAAGGGCCCCGGCCCCGCCGCCCGAGCCCCTAGCCCCCGGGCGCCGCCGCCGCCGCGCTCGCCGCGCTCGCGGCCGCTCCTGCTGCTGCTGCTACTGCTGCTGGCCGCCTGCGGGGCGGCGGGGCGCTCCCCCGAGTCCTGGCGCCTGGGTCCCCGCGCCCGGCTGACCCGGGCGCCGCCAAGCCCGCCTGCGGGGCGCGCGCTGCCCGGCGGCGGCGAGGACCGGCAGGCGCGTGGCGCGGAACCCGGCGCCCCGGGTCCCGGTCAGGCTCCGGGTCCCGGCGAGGACGGCGCCCCCGCCGCGGGCCAGGGGCGCTGGGCACGGGCGGCTCCGGTGGCCGGAGCGGCTTCGCAAGCGCAGGTCTCACTCATCAGCACGTCGTTCGTGCTCAAGGGGGACGCGACGCACAACCAGGCGATGGTGCACTGGACGGGCGAGAACAGCAGCGTAAGTGACCTCCGCGCGTCCCCCCGGGCCCTGCCCCGGACACCTCGGAGCCCCCACTTCCGGACGGCCCCGCGGTCACCCCGGGCATTCTCGGAGACTTGGGGACGAGAGTCACCTCGGCGGCGCCCTGCTGGCCCCTGGCCACTGGTTACTTGGGGACCAGATACGTGAGCGCCCTGCCTCACCTCGGGGGGCATTTCCGCTGATTTCCGGGACCCTGAGCCACCTCAGGGGCGGCCCCACTGGCCTCCAGATCGCAGGTTGGGGGGTGGGTGTCTCCAGAGGTTTCGGGACCCCGGCCACCTTGGGGCGCCCCCAGGCCCTTTAAGATCATTCACGACTCGGTGTTGCGCCTTTATCGCCTTCAGACTCCACCCGGTCCACCCAGCGTTGCTTTGGGATTTTTGGTTCCAGGACCCGCTCCACCCTGGTCTACCCGGGACCCCGCTCGTGGCACCTCCACGGGCTCTAGGACCTCCCCGGTCAGCCCGGCGTCCGATTCTGGGACCCTCGATTCTGGGGCCGCCGCTCTCCCCGCGTTCCCGTAGGGCGACCCGCGGCTGCCTTGAGGACCGGCCGCTGACGCACCTGGATGCGCTGGGATCTGCTTACTCGCGGGGCTGGGAGCGGAGGCCAGCTCCTTGCACTCCCTGCCCTCCCCCACCTTGGCCGCTACTTCGGCCTCGCTCCAGCTGGAAGTTGGACACCCCTTGCCCTGCAAACACACTTCTGTTAAGGTCCTCTGGCGCCTCCTTCCACCAGCTCTGTGGGTCCTGCCCCCTCTTGGATCCCGCCTCCTCCTTTTTGGTGGTGTGTCCCGGGCATGGGGATACCCTCATATTCTTCCCCGGGGCGGGGGTGCCACAGGGTCGTTTCCCTCCCACCCCGCTCTATTCCCGCCGGAGCAGATAACCCGTGGTCATCTGTCTTGGGGTCACCTGTCGGCAGCCCCACGTGGATCATCTCTAGTTTTGGGAGAGGGAGTGGTGGAGGGAGGTGGCAGCTGTGTGTGCGCGCGAGGTTATGGGGAGAAGAGATGGGAGCCCCTCGTCACTCCTTTCCGTAAATGTCCACTCACTGTCCAGTGGCTGAGCCCCGACCCTTCTCCTTGACCAAGGCTTCCCAAAGTTCTGGGGAAGCCGCGCTGGGCCAGGGCCCCTGCGTCCATTGGGAGTGGAGGGGCGGGGATGCAGGTGCTTCTCTAGTCACCGCAGGGGTGTAGCCTGGGCTGGGCGGCACTTTTACCCACCTCCTCTGTCTAGCCCCGCTGGCTGGGGAACTCTGCGGGAGAAGGGAGGGGCGGGTGGATGCGCTTCTTGGGGCAGGGGCGGCACTGGATGGGCCTGATTGGTCCAGAGCGCGGCGCCCTGCCGGACCCCCTCCCCAGCCAGCTTCTCACGCTTGTGCCGGGTCTCTGGTCCTTGGTCACCGTCTCCAGTCAGACTGGAAGCCCTGGGGGGAGGGGCGGGTCGGCGCTGACCCCCTGCGCTCCGCCGGCCAGCGGGGGCAGGCAGGGCCCTGAGGGGCGGTGCTTTAGGGAGGGGAGCAGGCGCCCCTACCTCGAAGAGCCCTTGGGGGAACGTCCCCACGTACATCTGGAGAGAGGGGTCAGACCCCAGACGTGCAGCTGGATCCCGCCCTTCTTCCTTCCTTCCCAATACTCGGGAGCAAATCGTGTCCTATGTACCGTAAGCTGTAACTCAGGGACTGCAAGGTAACCTGGACACCAGTAACTCAAAGGAACCAGTAAGCATTAACAGTCAGACCAGTGGAGCCGGAACATCCAAACCAAGCCCCCTCCCCCCAGGTTGTTCCTCCAGAAGCTCACTCTTTTCAGCTTCGTGGTGGGGGGCGGTAGGGGTGAGAGAAGTTAGGGAGACCCAGAGGGGTGGAGAGCAGCCTCCCAGGTGGGACCAGCACCTTCAGGGCTCACTGACACCCAGCTCGCCCGCCCACCCCCATCCTGAGAGCACAGCTCCCCTGGAGAGGCTGAGGAGAGTCTGGGCCAGTGGGGCGGGGCCCTGGGGGCGGGGCCTGGCAGAGGAGCCCACCTGGCTTTGCTGCTTGGGGACAGTGGCTGAGCTGAGTGACTCCTGTGTGACTGTCTCCTGGCTGCTGGCAGCTGAATGCCTGGAGGGGGGGCTTGGGAGTGGGGAGTGGGAATGTGGGGAGGTGCTGACTTCTCTTTAGTGGGCGGTGGGAAGTCCAGATCCGGGGAGGAGCTTTGAGAGAGGCACTCTCCCCTGACCTCTGGGAAATGGGGGGCCGGGGTGGCTGTGGAGAGCAGGGCGTGGCCTGGCACTCAGCAGACGGGAGGCGAAGCCCGAGTACTCATCACTGTTACCGGCTGTGGTTCTGGAGATGCTGACCCGGCGTTTGGCTCAAGCACCTCCCACTTCTCTTGCCAGCCCCGCCCCCCCCCTCACCCATTCTCAGGCTTGGGAAGTCGGGGAGACGGGAGTTCTCGCTGGATAAGCGCATCATCCTTTGACTTGGGGAGCAGGTGATGCTTTAAGAGTTTCACTTGCCTGGGAAGAGCTCAAGAGGAGTGAAAGCTGTAACCCAGAGCCAAGGAAAACCCTTTTTTCAAACCATTATTTTCTCAGCACTCCGCGCATGCGTTGCATTGTTTTCTCCGCACGTGAAGTGTCTCAGAAATGCGCTTTGGTCCCTCTGGCAGCCGCAGGGCTAAGGATTTTAGCCAGGATTCTGCACGTGGTTCACCTCCGCTTGAAAGCCCCATCTTTGAAAGCTAAAACGGAAAAGAAACTAACTTGAGGCTGATTTGCTGAGCAGAGTCTTTTAAAAATTTTATGTCATCTGATTTGCACAGGTATCCGAACCCAAGGAGCTACGCTCTGCAGATGTGCTCTACAAGAGCAGAGGTGGTGTTTGCTTTACCATGTCAGGTGTTTTACAAAGTTAAAAAAAGCATGTGGAGAGGGATAAACTGTTTAAAATGGTGTTTTAGAGCATCTGCAGAAAGGAACGGCAGGATTCGAGCTTATTCCAGGACAGGCCCCGTTGCTGTAGCGCTGAGAACATATGTGCGTTTCCCTTCCAAAGGCTCGGTTTCTTCCCGCTCCCATGGAGATACAGAAGGGGACTAGCTTGGAAGTTCGAACACTGCCTTT